AAAGGTGGGGCTGTGACGTACCTCAGTGGTAGAGCACTTGCATAGCATGCATGATGTTCAGAGTTCAATTCTCAGTACCATAAAAACAAAACAAAATAAATGAGGAGATAGATTTGTTTAACCTGATTTAAACATTATGCAACAAATACATGTGTTAAAACATCACATAGTACCCCATGTGAATTTTTGTGTTTTGTGTATCAGTTAAAAATAAATTTCAAATTTAAAAATGCAATTAAAAAGAAAAGGTAGGCAAGGATAAAGCAAGGGACAGGGTAAATGGAGAGAAAGTAGGGTTCATGTGGTGTCTGAAATACAGTGCTTAGGACAGAAGTAGGTACTTAGCAAATATTTGTTGAGTGAAAGAGGAGATTCTGTGGGGTCAAACCACTGGGTTTCAGGAATACAATTTCTAGAAAAGCAGAAAATTCTGACTACAAAAGGGGACTTGCATTTCCTGGTGGGGCCAAGTGTGCTAAAATAGGGAGTGGATGCTAGTATAAGAATTAAGGAGGTGAAGAAACTATAGACCAGGGCATTGGAGGTATCACTGGACAACATGGTACCATTCACCCAGCCACTGTTTTTCTACTGAGAAAAGGAAGCCTACTTGGAGAATGCTAAAGTAGCAGGTATCAAGCAAGCTAGTGGCCAGAAACTAATGTCTTCTATGCCTGTAGGTGGATAGAGCTCCAGGGTTACTAGGATGAAGCAGATGATTATTGACTTGATCACAGAGGTGTAGGTTTTTCTCAGGGCTAGGAGGAAAGTGAAGCTCCATTATAATTTGGAAATAACCAGCTCCATTGAATCCTATGAAGGGAAAAGGAAAGCTTTTGTTCTGCCATAAGCCCATTCTTTTACCCCAGCCCCTTTAGACTATCCCCAGTGCCATCTGTATCTGTGCAAAAATGTTCTACCTACCAGAGTTTTTCTGAGAAGTAAATGAAATGATGGACCCACAGATAATTTATAGGCAAATTACTCTGTCCCTAAGAGTGTAGTTAAGTGAATGTTGCCAGATTTGTCATGGGAATCAGAGAAAATGTTCTCCATATGGTCAGTAAGTCATTCCTATGATTGTACATGTCCCGTTCTAACAGCTAAAATATTTAATCCAAAATACAAGGATATTCACTACCCTCTTAAGTCTAGTCCCTAGCAAATAGCTCTTGTTCAAATACACCCAACTGGAAACAAACTGAACTTGTTACCTAAACTGCCCTGCATTTTTCTAGTTTTATGCTTTTACTCAATGAGTTCCCCTCGATTAATATGGTTTCTCTTTCTTTCTGATAAATAAAGTCCTTTCAACCATCTAAAACCAAGATTAAGTACCACCTCCTCCATCAAGCTTTCAATCAATTTAGCAGGTTAAGAAGATATCTCTTATTTCTGGAGTTCCACAGGTCATTTGGGAGATATTTTCCTGAATAAAAGAAATTTCCCATTACAAGAGAGTGCAGACTGATCAATGGTATGTGCAAAGCAGAGCCAAGACTCAGGATTATGGTAATGTCAGGAGGAAAAAGGAGAGTTATCTTGGTTCACTTTTTCACTATAACAAAATGCTTTAGCAACAGACATGTATTGCTGATAGCTTTGGAGGCTGGGAAGCCTAAGATGAAGACAGCAGCAGATTCTGTGTTTGATAAGAGCCCATTCATCCTAGTTGGTGCCAACTATGTGTCCTCATATAGCAAAAGAGGTAAAAAGAGCTTGCTGGAGCCTCTTTTATAAGGCCATTAATCCTATGCATGAAAATTAGGCCCTCATAACTTAATCATTTCCCAAAGGTCCGACCTGTAATAGCATCATGCTATGGATTAGATTCTAACAGTTGAATTTAGGCAGATGTCCACATTCAGACCATATCAGGAAGGAAGGAGGAAGGCAGGCTGATGGAGAGAAGGAAAAATATAAAGGAAGGTAAGGAAGAGACAAAACAAAGAGAAAAGGAAGGAGGGAAGGGGTTAGGACTCACCTGAACTGGTTAAGACTTAGTCTTCCTAAAAGCTGGTAGGAGTAGCTAGGAAAATGGGGAGACTAAGCTCTCACTTGGGATCAGTGACAAATAAGGGAAAGGTTTACTCCAGGAATAGTAATATCACTTCTGCTTCCTCTTCATACTTCCTAGGAAAAAATCACCTTAGAAGATTCATCATCAAAACTTAAGATGAGGGCTAAGGTTATAGCTCAGTGGTAGAGCACTTGCCTCACACATGTGAGGCACTGGGTTCAATTTTCAGCACCACATAATAAATAAATAAAATAAAGATATGTCCATCTACAACTAAAAAAATGTTTTAAAAAAACTTAAGATGATTCATTTCAAACACTGGACCATTGACTAGATGGGAATGGTGAGGCATGAGAAAGGGAAAGAATTAAGGTACCTGACCTTGAGGTTGTCTCTGCCTACTAGCAGAACAGACAACTGGAAGGATAGATGGGAGTAGTGTGGGAGAGCTGAGCCACCAATAACATAGGCATTTAACTTTATCAGTTTCTCAGTTCCCTTGTGTAGAAAAGAGGCTGTTTCAACCCTTCCTCTTTGCCTAGTATTTGGTACACTCGTATAATGTTCTCAAAATCAAGTCCTTTAAAATAACTAGAATATCCACATGCTTTTATGAGTCCATCATGTCATGAAGAGACTACCCTGGCTGGGCCCCATTTGAAGGGTGTATTTTCCCAAGGGCCTATAGATTGAGCTGCTGAGTTTGACCAAGGCTCAAAGGCCTTGACTATTGGGACAGGGGGCAGGGTCAGGAGTGGGATCCTGGACAAACCACCCAACAGGAACCCAGATTGAAACGTAGGATGTCTGCCAGGTGTGGTGACACATACCTGTAATCCCAATGGCTGAGGCAGGAGAATCATGACTTCAAAGCCAGCTTCAGCAAAAGTGAGGCACTAAGCAACTCAGTGAGACCCTGTCTCTAAATAAAATACAAAATAGGGCTGGGGATGTGGCTCAGTGGTTGAGTGGCTCTGAGTTCAATCCCTGGTACCCATCCCCCCCAAAAGAAATGTAGGATGCCTACTCTGAAGCTCTATGTGTTTACAGTGCTTCAACTCTCACACTCCTTGAAGACAAACTATTGTACCACTCTCCAAAGTACTTTTTAAAAAATAATTTTAGTTGTAGATGGACATAATGACTTTTTATTCTACTTATTTATTTTTATGTAGTGCTGAGGATCTAACCCAGTATTTCACATATGCTAGGCAAGTGCTCTTACCACTGAGCCACACCCCAGCCCTTTCCAAAGTACTTAAGAATGAAATGGGTCCAGGAGCAGGGACATGTCTAATTTTCCTTCCTTACTTCCTTTCCTTCCTTACTTCCTGAAGTCTCTCAGGATGTAGTGGTACGTGAGAATGGGAGAGGTGAAAGAGGGGAGAGACAAGTCAGTTTAAGTCCCATGTCTTGTTTCCCTTTCCCCTTGTCAGGGGACTATAATATAGGGGGCTGTCAAGGAAGCTACCATGAAGACCTCTAAACATCTAAGGTGCTTCTCATATACCCCTTCATCCTGTGTCCCTTTCACTACTCATCCACATCCTCACTCATAGTTTTACAGGGGAAATACAATAAGGTTTAACAAAATAAAGGTGCTTAGATTTGGGTGAATATCTGTGTTGATCCAGGACCTACTTACCTCTGTCCCTGCCCTTCTTCCCATCTCCATATTATGGGAGTGGGAATCTGAACACTGCATTTCCTAGGCTCCCAAGTCAATCAATTTTGGCTTAATTCAAGCAGTAGGAGGAATAATGAGAGGACAGGAAAAATGGAGAAGCCTGTATACTTATTCTCTGCCTTCTATGCCTCAGGTGGTGGCTCTGCTATGTCTTCTCTATGGTTTCTGCCATCAGCATACTTCTAGTTCTGCTGTGTGAATCCAGCTCCCAGCTCAGGTCACACACCTCCTCCCACTGTGTTTCCATTCTTTATTTCCCACTGCTCTGCCTTGTACCTCAAGGGGACTGACCTCTGAAGTTGTTTCCCAGGAAATTAAATTAATTGATTTCCATTTTCTCCAAGGAAAGAGACATACTAGAGGGCAAGAATGAAGAAAAAGAGAGGGTATTTCTTCTTTTCCTCTGCTGTGCTCAGCCTGTTTTCTCTATGGATCTAGCTTTCATGGACATACCTGTGACACTTTCTACAAGGTGATCCTTGTCCCTGTCCTCTGGAAATACTGCTCAAGTCTAGGGGTGATATTAGCTTTCTGCTGTCACTAATCTCTGAGTTAATTTTTTATCCTGCCTATCAGCTATGTGACCTATTTATCTTCTGCTTTTAAATCTCTGATTCTCTGTCATAAATATTTGGTTGTTTGTTTTTCCAATTGATTTTGGGTGGGGGGTACTGGGGATTGAACCCAGGGGTGCTTAAGTCCTGAGCCACAACCCAGTCCTTTTTTTTCTACTTTATTTAGAGACAGGGTCTCACTAAGTTGCTTAGGGCCTTGCTAAGTTGCTGAGGCCAGCTTTGAACTAGTGAATCATCCTGCCTCAGCCTCCCAAGTTGCTGGGATTATAGGCATGCGCCACCATGCCTGGCTTCTCAGTTGATCCTGACTCTAAAGTGGACTAGTGGAAATGCAACTTATAATTCAAGGTGACTAAATGGGGGGGCACCTTGGTCATTTGCTTGAAAGTATTAAGAGACTGGTGAACAACCCCTGAAAACTTGCCTTGTAGCATACAGAGAAGTGAAGTGAGCCACAGGACTGGGTGAGCTGATGATGTTACCCTTCCACCCACTTGGATTCTTCAGGACCTTTCATCTAGGGTAACAAAGCTCCAAACTCTGTAGAGGGCCTTGGTTGGGTAGGCACAGCCATTGGGTTAGTTTTGTCTTTGGGATTTTCAGTGGCCAAGACTCCTCTGCATGGCAAATATCAGACCAGTACCATTCTATCCCATGGCCAATCAGACCCCTTTCTTCAACCCTCTCCCACATACATGTCAGACATAGTAGCCACCAAGACTTTTTGCTGAGGATTTAATCATGGAGGATAATATGGGAGGACAGCTCCAGTTGAGTGGGTTGTTGTGCCCTACAGCTACCTGGGTCCTTAGGTGGTTTTTGGAGGCATCATGGGTTCCTGGAAACATTGCAAGATCATGTTTGGTGTTTGAGGTAGCTAATCAACACGGGGGGAATTTCCAGCTGGTCGATGGCTTGTGGCTGGCAGGTCTGGCGCAGGGCTCTGCGGATAACTAAACGGGCCTGGGATAGGAGTGACCGTGGAGTGGCTACAGCAAGGAGAAACAGGACATGAGAAGCAATTCTCAGTGTAATTCTCCTGGGCAAGCTACATCTCCCTTCCCTGGCTGTTCGAGCTTTAACATCTTCTCCCTTATAAGAAAATGTCCCCTTTCCCACCCCCCAATATATGGTATCAGTGGAAACGCACTGAGGCCTAGAGGCCCTGCTCAGGGTCAGAAAAAAAGCCATTGCAGAGCCATCACCAGAAATGTAGCATGAGGTTCCCCCCCACCATTTCATCTTAGTGACCCTTTCCATAACATTGAATCAGTAACCTCTTCTCCACTGGGCCCTAAGAAAAGGAGAAAAATGGAGTTTTTTTTTTTCCAGTTCATCCCAGAGGACTGGTTTGAAGAGTGATTTGGGGCCCTGGGACCTAAAAGCTAGGAGGTCTATGGGGATGGCCTGCTCACTACTCACCTCGGGCCTGTATCAGCAATGTAACACCTTTATCATCATGAGAGGTCTGGTCCAGAGGGAGAGATGGAAGGTAGACATTAGCACCAAAATCAATTAACAGCTGGATATACTCTGGCGCACAATTATGGTGAAAGCAGATATCAAGGAGGGTGCGGGGTCGTGGAACACGAGCTAGTAGGCCCTTGTCAGTGCAGTTGTAATCAGGATCTGCCCCATAGAGCAAAAGCAGGCGGAAACAGTCCAGGTGTCCATAGACTGCAGCCAAATAGAGAGGGCCAGAACATGAAGCTATATTTGATGCCCACACTGGTAGCTTAGCCTTGACATTGGGCTCTGCACCATGGCCTAGGAGCTCTTGCAGGATGGCAATAGCACCATCACGTGCAGCTGTGAGCACAGGAGAACAATTGTTGTAGATGCTACCTCCAGGACATGCACCAGCTTCTAAAAGCACACGCACACAGTCCAGATGGCCATGACTGACGGCAGTGAAAAGTGGTGTCTGTGCCTTGACGTCCAAACTGTCAACATCAGCGCCATGTGCCAGGAGGACCTGCACACAGCTCAAGTGTCCATAAGAAGCAGCTAAGCGCAAGGGTGTCCCAGGAACACCCCAGCCACTCCTGCTATTGATGAAACGTTTGTAACGCTCCTGGCGTAGAAGCTGATCCAAGGTATGGGAGTCGTTGTCATACACTGCTTGATTGAGAGCCTGTTTTTCCCCAGTGTTTGTGTCCTCCTCCTCTTTTTCGGGCTGCAGGAGGGAGAAGATCTTGGTGATATCCATGAGGTTCATTTTGGCTGATTGTAACAGGACTACTTTCATTATGAGGAGGAAGACATGCCAGATCTGTGGGTAAAAAAGCGAGGAGAAACTGAGGGTACTTATGAAAAACTGGGAATGTCAATCTCCACTCTAACCTCTTGCTCCCTGTCTTTTATGGTCAGGGTCTCCTGTTTCTCACTCCTACCGCTATTGTCTTATTTTAGGCCCCAGGAATAGTTTTCAAAACAGGTCAGGGCATTTCAGAGCTTGGTTCCTTTGCATATAATTTTTCTGACTGCCTCTCAAACTCCTACTTCTGGGAAGCCTTTCCTGACCTCTTCCTACTCAGGGATTCCAAAAGATGACAACTGGACTCTACCTGTGAATTTGTATACCACACTTTCACTCACTTGTGCTGTATTAATGTATAAGCTCCAGGGCGAGGACCCTGTGTCCATCTTTTATTCCTCCACTCCCAGTAGGGCCTATGTAATGGCTGAGGATTTAGTAGATGCATCTTCCTCAGATTAGAATATGTGGATTGATGAAGTTAGTTATCTGCAGAGCCCTGCACCAGACCTGGCAGTTGCTAGGCCAATACAGCAGTGCTTTGTTGTGTCATTCCTGAGCATTCTAACATCAGTCTCTTGAAGCAGACCCTCAGCTCTGCCTTTTGACCTTTTAGACAAAGTTCACTTTCTTCACAACTACTCATATCTGACCAAATCTCCCTCTCCCAAGATTTCTGTAACTTCCTCTCAGACTCAGGTCCCATGCTTCCCAAGCAGAGATGCCCAGAAAATGAAGGTCGAATGATATTTACTGATTAAATAAATGAAGGGGTGGTATTACAATAAACACACTTCAAGTAAAATAAAGGAAAGAAATGGCAGTTGAAGTTTCCAGATCAGGTTCTCTCTGATACATCTAGTTTATTTCCCAGAACCACTGCAATCAAGGAGTCCCTTTGATTGCCAACACTTCCTCAGAACACACTGCATCTCCATCTTTCTGACTAAAACCTTTACCTATCCTTTCTGCCAAATCCAGCCTGGAGCCTTGACACAACCCTCAACTCTTCTCCCCTTATAGTCCTCAGGCCCCCAAGTTCACTCATGACCCAGTGATGGACTCATTTTAACCCCTGATTTACCAGTCCTATTCCTAATTCTCCAAATTCATGTTTACTCACCTCAGTTTGTAATGTCATCAGGGTGAGCTGGTAGATTTTTCAGAGCTCAAATCTCCCTACTCTCCCATACCCTGCAGCCGGGGTCTCAGGGCCTCACATCTCCTTTTATTCACTGTCCACTCCACCCCTCTTTGTTAACTGGGGACCTCAAATACCCACCTCATAGAAAGAAAATTGTGAGGTGGGTGGGTGGGGTCACTCTCAACTTTAGGCCCCTCCCCACCTGGCTGTATCAACTCCATATATAGTCTGATTATTCATTCTCTGGGTACAATGGGAATAAGACTGTGTTTAGGTAGAATTAGGCTTGTAGCTTAGTATCCCTGGTTCCTAATGTATAAACTTTGGCAAGTCTCTTCACTTCTTTGTGTATCATTTTCCTTATCTATAGGATAGTAACTATAGTACATAATTCCTGGAGCTTTTAGAATAAAGAGAACTGCCCATATATTAGATCTTCAAAAGTGACCTTCTTTTCTCTGCACCTTCAATCTCCTTTCTCTGACTTCTCCCCCTCATCTATCTTAGGAAACAAACCTCCAAAACTTCTATAGATCTTTGACTTCTGTAGCTACCTTTCTCTACATTTCTCCCTTCTTTACAGATAAGTAGTATCCAGTTATTTACTGACTACTTTCCTACTCCCTATTCCCTTCTCTATTCTCTGCAGTCTGGCTCTACCTACATTGATCACATATGGAGAAAGCTATTTAAAAGGCCATCTGTATGGCTAAATTCAATGCATGTTTCTCGGATCTTTCTGACATTTTCTGGGACTTCTGTTCTACTGACCACTTCTTCCCACCAACTCAACCCACATTTTTCTGGCTAGCACTCTCTCATTCTGCCTTCCATCACCTGATTTCCAGTCCCCAGAGCTTTAGCGCTTATCTTTACAATGATGATTTAAACCCATCACTCCAAGCCACTCCCCACTCCCACCCTGAAACTCTTCATCTCCAGGAATGAATCCACAGAATTTCTACAGGCACTTCAAGTTCAGAAGTATACTACCCCCACCACCACCACCACCACCACCACCACCTAACTTAATCCACATGTCAATTCTTCACCATGTACCCAATCAACAAAATATATAACCCCAGAACCCATCCAAGTCTTCTTACCTCTTTGCCCCACTCACATTCAATCCCATTCAGTCTTTTGGATTTTACCTCCTATAGACCTCTATCCATCCATCCCATATCCATCTTCAGTGGGAGGCTTTATCTAGGCCCCTACCATCTTTTGTCACAATAGTTACTATAGTCTTCTAGGTAGTTTCCATTTTTCTCAACATTGTGGCTAACACGATAATTTAAAAATGCAAATATGGCCTGTACCAATCCTCTGTTTTAAATCCCTTAATGATGCCCACTCTTTTAGGGCATAGCCCAAAAGACTTGGCTATACTCATAGATCTTGGCCAAACTCTTCAGCCTTACTTCTTACTACTCTTCTATTTATAATCTGGAATCCAGTGATAAGGGAAGAAAAAGATGGTTCTCCATATACAATGTGCTTCTTTCTGCCACATGCATTTTCTTCTGCTGAGTTACTTCCTACTGAGTGTGTTCTTATAGCACTGTATCAGTCATTATATTTTATTGTAATTGCTGTATAGGTCTGTTTTGTTCCCAGGGTACATGGGGAACCATATGGGATAGTGGAAACTTCTGCTTTCCTGCTTCTATCACAGCTCTACCACTTAGTAACTGTGTGATCTAGGGCAGATCATTTACTCTAGATGTTCCCATTTCTTCATCTATTAAGGGAGGATAACAGTACCTTTTTGAAGTGTTGTTAGAATTGAATGAGTTAATACAAAATAATTGCTTAGAATAATATCTGAACATAGTTTTCAATCACTGTTTTTACTATGATGATGATTTTTACTTAGGTCTTCAGTTTCTATGGCTATTTCTCTCTACTTAATGTTCTTCCTCAGAGTTGTAGTAGACCTTGTAGGCAATTTAATTTTATTTCTTCAATTGAGAGATGGAAAAATCAAGGTTCAGAGGGGAGCAGGGACATTCACAAGGTCACACAGCTGTTACTGTTGTCTCATTTAAAAAAAATCCAGGACACACCTATAATCTTGTGCTGTTCAAACTTATTTTATGGGGTGGGATAGGTAACATTATCCCTGTTTTCTGGGTGGTTAGAAACTATGGCTGGAGAAGGAAAGAGATTTCCTAGGTAACTTATATTAAGGCAATACCAGAGCCAGAAATATAATTCAGGTCTTCCTGCTTCCCAATCTGTTCTTTATATTGCAATATAAAATGCAAATAAGACTCCTCCTCCTTCTTCAAGCAAAGTTGCATTGCAGTTCCCAGTATCCTCAGATTTTGAGTGTCATGTTGAATTCCAGAGACTTTGGTACTGGAAGTTTCCTTTATGAATTGTTTCTTCTGATAACCAGTTGGGAATCCCTTTTTTATTATTTTATTTTAGGGATTTGGGTCTGTGGAGATGAAAAGAGCAGGGTACAGTGGAAGAAATGATGATGCATTCACCTAGAATGTAACATGAGTCCACAGCAGAGCCCATATAATGAACTCCTAGAGGGAAATCAAGCTAGCTGCCTTTATAATGGCACTTGCATAATTATCTGCATTAGATGTAGACAGCTAATATTGCCTGACTTCACCCTGTTCTGGTTTATTAATCAAAGAGTTATAATGTGCCTACTATATACAAGGAGTCCCTTGCTAAACCCAAAAGTGCAGGAGTTTTGAACCTTTTTTGTTAAATTGGCCAGGTGAAGTCTGTCGACTCCTTTAACTATGTTTTTTTGTGAATAAAAATAAAATATATAGTGTTAAAGGAAATCAAATGCATTAAAATGCTGCCATAAAATATTTTAAAAACTGCATGACATAGTAATTGATGTTATTTATTAACACATTAAATAATGAGGTCTAATAATTTCTAAGTGGCAATGTGCATAAATGACATTTCAAGATCTCTGCCACACTGTAATATGATATAAAATGTCTGTGATTTCTTCTGGTGACCAAGTTACAGGAACCGGTAATACTACAGCCATTTACTGCCTGTATTTGTCCTTGAAAGAAATGGTAAATTTCAGTTGGAGGTTACTGTGTTAGGAGGCAAAAGGTAATTGTTTGCCCTTTCAAGTCTCTGAACCCTTTGTATTTTATCTAAGGCCCTCTCAGGATCTGTAAATCCATGTAAAAACTCTTACAGGAGAGAGTTTTATTTCTATAGGACCTAGCACACTTCTCCAAGCATTAGTAGACTATTTTTAAGTTTTACCTTCCTCCACCCACCCTGATAAGCTCTGTCCTTATGCCTTTAAGCCCACTAAACTGCACAGACCCACATACATACAGACTTTCAAACACCATACAAGGACAAAAACCTTCACCCTCTCTGTAGTATGTAATAGCAAATGCCCATATGAAAGTAGGTCCATGTAGACACAAGAGCCTGAGCAGACACACCTTCTTGGGACAGACAAAGCAGAAAGCTGTCATAGTATTCTTCCTCCCTTATGAAGGCTTTTGCCTACAGACCTCCTAAGCACTCCCAGGTCCCAGACTCTAGAAATGGCAGGCTCACAGACATGAGTCTTAGGTTGTGGGTACTCACAAGACTTCGGCCTGAGGCCACACTGAACTGTGTTGCTTCCTCTGTGCCTCTTCGATATACTTGGGCCCTGGTGGACCCTGCATGGGGAGCCCCTACTGCCCTGGGCTAGAGTAGAAGGGGCCCTCTTTTTCCACTGTTAACACCCTGGCAGAAAGGTTAGTAGTTGGTCCCAAGGCTGACTTGCTTCAAGGGGCTAATTTTAGGTTACCCTCCACCCCGCCTCCTGAGGACATGTTATCTTACCAGTGCCTTTCTGGGAGTGATCCCAGCTAGAGGGGGTGGCCAGCCACAGGGAAATCCTGGAAGAACTGACAGATAGACAGGTGCTTGGGAAGGTTGGGGCTTCTGTTCACAACATGTCCTCACATACTCTCCTGCACCACTCATATGGGCACAGAGGTGAGTTCTATGAGCTATGGGAGTTCCCAGCTTTTCAACAAGAGGCCTGAGAAGGCCCAGCCTCACCTAGTACACCAACTTCTATGCTGAGTCTCTTTAACTTTTCCTCCAAAGTTAATCTCTTTGCATATCCTTTTTCCCTTCTTTAAGGCCTAGTAACATACTGCCCTTCATTATTCCCCAGTTCCCTGGAGTGAGAAGGACAGCATGAAGTGGAAGCTTCCATACTGATGTAAGAATTTTTTACAAAGTCCGGGGATCCATTTTCAGAATATATTAGGTAGACTTAATTGGATCCAAATTTAGCCATTTTAGTTATAGCCCATCCCTTTGCCAGCCTCAATTTAAAAATTAGCCAACTGCATAGATTATAGCCCCAAACTCCTCCAACAGGGGTGAAGGACTGCGCTACCTTAGTGATATCAGTGGGAGGACTGCCCGGTCAGATGCACTTGCTAATCAGGTTCCAGCTGCAAGACTTTCTGGCAGAAGTAAAAGTTTGCCATGCCCACACACTTTTGAACAGGGTTTTATTTTTTGCAGCACCTCAGTATTTTTAACGATTTTGGCAGCTGCCATGAGGCTCCATATATTGCTTAGGGGTTGTGGGGAATTCTCCTCCTCAGAGGAAAAGAATCCCACTGTTTCATTGTGGTTGCCTCAGAACAGAGGCCACCCTGAGGCCCACAAAGCACCCAAAATCTGAAGTGGATCAGATGTGGATAGGCAATTCAGGGAGAGGACCCAGTCAATTACTGCATTGATTCGGTAACATTGTGCATGGAACAAGTTAGGAAAATCTATTCTCGAACTTGGAAGAGAAGAACTCCCTTGGTTGTCAGGACATCCCAGAAATTATATGAGTGTGACTAAGACTTTAGTGCAAAAAACACTAAAAAGAAGCAGTTGAGACTGTATTCAGAAACACAAGATCACACCCAAGAAAATGCGGTGGGGGGGTATGTAAGAAACAGCTAGTGAGATTGAGCATATAGGGGTCCAGAATATACAAGAAACTTGCAATAAAGTGGGGGTGGGTAGGTTGAGTACAAACGATACATTTTAATTATATGAACATATAAGAAAAAAATGGGGAATAAAAATTTTAGGCCTAGGGACAGGGAAGAACAACCAACAGTACCCATACAAACAAATCTTTTTTTTTTCCTTTGAGCCCTTTTCATATCTGGGTCATACTGTGAAAATATGTGATAGGCTCTATTTTATTTTTATTTTTTATATACTGGGGATTGAAGCTAGGGATGCTTAACCACTGAGCCACATCCCCAGCCCTTTTTAATATATTTCATTTTGAGACAGGGTCTTGCTAAGTTGCTTAGGGACTCGCTAAGTTGCTGAGGCTGGTTTGGACTCACGTCCTCCTGCCTCAGCCTCCTGAGACTCTAAGATAACAGGTGTGTACCACAGCAACCGACAAAGCTCTATTTTAATCTATTTATTGTATGTCGTGTCTATATATGTGTTTGTGTCCATGTCATGTACATGGTATCAAAATTGGCTTATAGATAAAAGAGTATTCATAAATTTAATTAATGGATCTAAATGCCTTTCAGTTCATGTGACTTAAATAAAACTTCAACAAAGTGCTTGATTTGGCAGCACATGTACTAAAATTAGAATGATACAGAGAAGTTTAGCATAGCCTCTGCACAAGGATGACCCACAATTCATGAAATATTCCATAAAAAAAATTTAAAAAAAAAAACTTTAAAAAAAGGGGTCAATTTAAATTGGTAAGTATAAAGATGCATTTGAAATTATTGACTCCCATGTTTTTCTAGGTGACCAGGTTACTGAAAGTTTGTATTTTGCCCTGATACCAATTCAATGGCAGGGACATGCATTTGAAAGATAGAGGAAAAGGATTTTTTGCTTTGCTGGTGGGAGAG